ATTTGCTTTGCTCTGCTAAATGGAGCAAAACATGGGATTTCTGCACTAAACTCCAAAGGTGCAAGCCTTCCTCCAAGGCATTGGCTGCCAGCCAGCTGTAGTGGGCCATGAAATCATCCACTGCCTTCTTGAAAGCTTCAAACCGCCATTCTTGCCAGCTGCACTCTAAGACTTGGTATGCCTTGACCAACTGCTTTGCCAATGCTTCCCTGTGCTTCCCAGCCTTGTCCATGCTGTACTCCTTGGCCAGCTCCAAAGCTACTGGGGCAAAATAGCGAATTTTAGCTCCTTTGATGTGCTTGAGGCAAGGGTATTCTTCTGCACTCTCAGCCAGGTCTGACAAAGACAGGTGCTTGATCCTCTTTTGGGCTGCCACCCCCAGCTTGTCATAGGCTTCCACTATCTTCTTGTTCAGGTTGGCTAGCCTCACAGCTCCTCAGCTGGCCAAAAATTGTTTGCTTGCACACACTATATTGGGGCTATCCAGCCGAAAAAAAATGAAGCTGCTATTGCTGGCAAAAATCTGGAAGCTCCTGGCAACTTCTCCATGATGCTAAAAAGCAAAGATCCATGTGCATATGCTGCTACACCAAGGTCCAGGATGTGCAAAATGTCCAGCCTAATGGACAAAGGGGTCACACATGGAGCTCTGAAGAGTGGGTGTGCTCCAAACTTCTCCTTGAATTTGCTCGGTGACAGCACACTGGCTCTCCAGGCTGCGGTTTGCCTGAAATCTGTGAAAAGCCTGGGGCTGTCTTCTTTGCATTGGTCTGCATTGCAATAGGGGCAGAGAAGGTTGGCTGCAGCATAAGGGAAACCAAACTCAGCTGCAAACCATTCTAAATCTCCACTCACTGACCATAGCACTCCCCTCCTCATTCTCTTCCCCTTGTATTTCTCTGTGGGCATCCCTGCCTCATCTTTTTTGGGCACCACACCATCCCACAGCACTTTCCAAGACCATGCCAAAACTTCCATCAGCTTCTTGGAGGTCTCCTTGGTCATGGCAGCCTTGGGCACAGCTGCGATTAGCATCTGGCTCTGGGTCACTGCCTTGCTGGAAAGCAAGCACCTTCAGGGCACATGGCATCCAGCCCAGGGCTATCCAGCCCAAGGGCTATCCAGCCCAATGAGGCAAAACATAGCAGCCAAGGTGGACATGCAGGCAAGGGCTATCCAGCCCAAAGCAGGAAAGGAAGCCAAGCCTGAAGCTGAGCACCTGGATGCTGTCCACCTCTGTGAAGGGCGCTGCATCTCCATGCAAAAGGTATGGCACTGGAAGCTGTCTTGGTTGTGATGTTTCAATCACTTTCTTCAGCTCAGCTGTCATCTGGGGGCATGAAGATTGGCTCTTCCAGAAAGCAACTAATTCTTCATCCTTGCAGCACAAACTCTTCAAGAAGTTGTTCTCTTCAGCCTGAAGGACCCAGTGGTGAGGTAGCAGGAGGTGAATGGCAGTCATCTGCTCTACTCTATGGCCACCCTTCTTCACAGCCAGGGGGCCATACACCTCCCAGGGATCTGGAGCTTCTAGAAAGCGAAAATACTTTCTCACCAAGTCTCTGTGGCAATTGCCAGGTGAATGCCCACAAGCCCCAAGCTCAGCCAACTTCCCCACACACTGGCTCTCCAGCCCACTCTTAACTGCTGCTGAAGCAAGCTCCTGCACTTCTATGGCTGACAGCTTTCCTATGCTGAACTTTTTGAGCAGCAGCACCCACAAAGGACATGGGTCCATTTCTCCACAACTTTTGAGCAGCTAAAGGGGCAACTTCATTCAGCTTTAACAAGGGTTGTCCAGCCCAATTGCCATGTCAAGGGCTCTCCAGCCCAACAATGATAACAAGAGCTGTCCAGCCCAATTCAAGGGCTATCCAGCCCAACAATGGTAACAAGGGCTGTCCAGCCCAGCAAAGGCAAAGGGCTTCCCAGCTGACATTTTTGCTTTCAAGAGCAGCTTGGGGTTGAGTTTGCCAGTCTGCCATCGCAAAACTTTGGCCAGGGGTGCCACTTATGATCTCAACTACAGACATTTGATGTGTTCAGTTCAACACTTGGTGGGCACCCCTGCTCTGCTTCAAAAAGTGTTTAAGCCTTCAAGGCTTTTGACACGAGCAGCTTCTTAGCTTTCAGCTTTTTCAGCACAGCAAAGGCCTTCTGCAAGGCTGGGACCACCTCCTTCTTCTTGCCCTTATCTTTGTGGAGCTTCCCCACCAAGGTCAAAACCTCTTGGCCTTCCTTCTGGGTCTTGGCAACATCCTTCAGGAGTGCCTTGGGCATGTCCTTAGAGTGGCACAAGCCATCCAAGGTTGCCAAGTCCTTGGTGAGCTCCACCTTGAAAGCCATCAGCCTGATGAGGAGTTGTGCTTGGCCATCTTCCTCCTGCACAGTGCTCATCTCCTCCCACTTGTCCTTCTTGCCTTCTTTCTTCTCTTTTTTCTCCTTCTTCTCCTTCTTGCTCTTGTCAGACTTGGTGCCCAAAGCCTTAGAGAGGCCAGCTGGCAGCCCATCACTGTCTTCACCACTCTCTTCACTTGGGGCACAGAAGTCTGCTTCTGTGAGCTTCTCTAAGCCCTTGCTCCTCATTACCTGCTCCAGCTCCTTCAGGTTGCTCTTGTTCTTCTTCTCAAAAGTGAAAGCTTGTTCCCTGGTCACATTCACCTGAGACTGCTCAGTGTTGGCCCTGAACTGCCAGTAATTGGGATCTGCTGGATCCTTCCTGGCAACTATACTTCCAGAAGCCACCCTCTCCTGCAACTCTTCTTTCCCCCAGTGTGCCAGTGCCTGGGCCTTTGTGAGCCAGGTGCTGGTGACTCCTTCACTTTTCTTCAAAGAGACCTTGTCCACCATTGCCTTGTAGTGTTCACCTGTGGTCTGCCCATCACACACCCAGCCAAACAGAAGTTTTCGCTTCTTGGCAAGGCTTCCCACTGACTCACTGGTGGTGGCTTTGTACTCCTCCTGGGCCCCAGAGCTTTTCCTGGACTTTTCAAAAGCCTTCCACAACCTCATTGCAGCCTTCTCATCTAAGCAGCTCAATGCCTTCTCAAACTGAGAACTGGACATTTGGGCTGCCTCCTCACAAAACTTGTTGTGGTCCTTGACTGCTTGAGCTGTGAGTGGCTGGTGAGCACCCTCAGGTGTATCCTCTTCCTCTGCCTTGGCAGCTGGCCTCTTGAGGCCTGCTGCTGCTGCTGGCCTCTTCATTGCTATGGCTGTGGTCTTTGTTTTCTCTTACGGCCAAAAGCTTTCTGGATTTTGAAGCAGATTGCTCAAGTTGAGGCCAAATCAAATCACATGTGTTGTGTTTTTTTTTGTGGCTCAATGGGCTATCCAGCCCAAGAAATTGATGGCTATCCAGCCAAAAAAATAAGTGTTGGTGTTTGTTCTGGCTCAAATACCTAGTCCAAAATAGTTATTGCAAATGGTACTTATTGTTTTGGCTCAAGGGGCTGTCCAGCCCAAAGTATATATTGGCAAAAAAAACAGAAAAATAAATATACAATGATTTTTTCTCGAAAGAAAAAAATTGTTTTTTTATTTGTTTTTAAAAAATATTTCAGATTCATAGATTTTCAGGTGTGTTCATGTGAATTCAGGGGTGTTCATGTGAATTCATGGGTGTTCATGGGTGTTCATGGGTGTTCATGGGTGTTCATGGGTGTTCATGGGTGTTCATGGGTGCTCATGGGTGTTCATGGGTGTTCATGGGTGTTCATGTGATATTTTTGTAGTTTTGTTTAAATCTATTTTTTTCAAGGCTGCTCAGCCTTTTTTTTTGGTCAGGGCTATCCAGCCCAAGAAAAAAAAATGTTTGGATCAAGGCTATCCAGCCCAAGAAAATCTATATGTAAAATAATTGGCTATCCAGCCAATAGATTTTAAATTCTTTGCCTGGAACTCAAGCCCATAGATTTCATATATAGAATGGGCTATGCCTAGAATATCCCATAGGCTCTCCAACCCAGAATTTTTCAATAATTAGCTGGCTCTCCAGCCCAAAGATTTTACATATTTAATTGGCTCTCCAGCCAATACTGTAGATTTTAAATATTTAATGGGCTCTCCAGCCCATAGATTTGAAATATTTAATGGGCTCTCCAGCCAATAGATTTGAAATAGTGAGTGGGCTACTCCTCATGCCATTTTATGGACTGTCCAGTCCATAAAATATCAATAATGGATGGGCTATCCAGCCCATAGATTTCAATTATTGCAGGGGCTCTCCAGCCCAAAGCCCCCAGCTATCCAGCCCAATCCCTTCACATCCCCCTATGGTTCCAGCAGCATTTTTTCTCGCCAAAGTCTTGACTGTGCAGAGGGTCCCAAAGTTCTTGTCCCTTGCATTAAAAATCTGTACCCTCACAACTCCTCAGCTGATCGAGTGTTTAGAAAATATGGTACAGGGCCTCATCTGACTGGCTGAGCTTCTCATCAAACAAAAACCTAAATATTGTGAGGTTAATGTCATTTGTTGAAATTTCTTTTGGGCTCTCCAGCCCAGCCAGTCTGCTTTGGTAGGCTTGCCCTCTTTGAAATGGCTGGATTTTTCAGCAAAACAAAAAACATATGTGTTTTTTGTTGGTTTGAATTTTGGACTTTCCAGACCAGCCATGTTTCTGTACCAGGGCTTGCCTATTTGTAGGCCTTTTCAATCTCACTAAGCAGATCCCATTGCCCAGCTCTCCTCACTTGTCGAATGAAATCTACAGTCTTGGTGCGGCCCCTGTAGCTGTTGCATCCATATCCTGGGATGGGCAGTAAGGCTATCCAGCCTATCCATGACTGATGGGCTATCCAGCCCAGGTGTGGCTAGCCAGCCCAGTTGCAGCCAAAGTTCTCATGCAACCTTGGCACTTGGCACTCCTCAGGCAAGACTTCTTGGTGACATAGCTGGTGTGATAGCATTCCTTGCCTGGGAATGGCTCAGGTGAAATTGTGGGCTCTCCAGGCCAAAAACTTTTTTCAAGGCTATCCAGCCTAAAAAGGTTTTCAAGGCTCTCCAGCCCAAGAATTGGCTGTCCAGCCAAACAGATTAATGCAGCCAAGCTGGCAATGGGTCACCACATAGTCCAGATCCATGGACTCAATCACATTCCAGAAGGTGTTGTCTCCCCCTTCCCAGTCCTCGAGCTCTTCAGGACTCCTGGGCAAAAGGAATTGTTGTTTGTTTGTTTTTTTTTGGTGGTGAAAAAAATAAAGTAAATCTATAAAAACATATTGATCAGCAACCAAAAATCTTTTCTGCCCATGGTAAATCTTGTCCCTGGTCTCCTCCTGCTCCCCAACTTCCTGTGCAGCTGCCATCTTGATCCCATCCTTGCTTCCATCCTCCATCCCAGGACTCACTCCAACCAGCCCAGGTTGAGTCATTCCAGCCCCACTCTGACCCCTCTCCTGTGTTTGCTGCTGGGGCTGCAGAAAAGGGTGGCTCCTCTGTGCTCCTCCCTCCTCCTGATCCCTTGCCTGCTCCTGGGTTGTTCCAGGGTGCAGTGCTGAAACCTCCTGCGGCTGTTGGATCTGCTGCTGGTGCTGCTTCTCCTCCTGTGGCTGAGGAAGCTGGTGCTCCTGTGGCTCTGGCAGCTGGTGCTGCTGTGGCTGTGGCTGGTGCCCCTGTGCCTGTGGCAGCTGGTGCTCCTGTGCCTGTGGCAGCTGGTGCTCCTGTGCCTGTGGGGGCTGGTGCTCCTGTGCCTGTGGCAGCTGGTGCTCCTGTGCCTATGGAAGCTGGTGCTCCTGCGGGGGCTGGTGCTCCTGTGCCTGTGGGGGCTGGTGTTCCTGTGCCTGTGGAGGCTGGTGCTCCTGTGCCTGTGGGGGCTGGTGCTCCCCAGACTCTTGCAGTTGGTGGTGGTGCAGTGGCTCCTCCTGCGGGTGGTGCTCCAGCAGCCTTGCTTGTCACTCCTTGGTTGGCTGTGGGTGCCCATGGGTTGACACCATGCCCTAATTGGGCTGCTGCTGCAGCTCCCAGGACTGCTTCATTCATCCTCTCCACCATGATTTCGTAGAAATCTTGCTCCACCATTTCTGCCAGGGAGCAGGAAATTGGTGAATGTGCATGGTTATGGCTCAAGGCTATCCAGCCTAAAAACTGAAGGCTATCCAGCCCAACAACCACAATTTTATATGTGCAATAATATGTTTTAATAGCTTAAACTTATTTACCCCCAACATAAAACATGGTTATGCAGCCCAAGAAAATTGTGCAGAATCCTGTGGTGGTTTCTTTCCTGCCCAACCCAGTCCTGGTGCCACCTCCTTCTTGACCCTCTGGAGGAACATCCTGGAGCTTTCCCAGTCTGCCTTGTTAATCCCAGTGTGGGATTGGGTGTACAGGCAGATCTGGAGCAGCCACATGCCCACATCCATGCCAGGGTTGTGGAACTCCATCAGGGCCCTCATGTTCTGTCTCCAGACAGCACTGCCTCCTCCTCCTGCACCTGAAGGCATTCCCTTGCCACTGGTGTTCTCCACCCAGCCCTTCTTGCCCTTGCTCTCCTCACCCTTCTTGCCCTTGCCCTCCATGGCGATCAGGTGGTGCTCTGGGCGCTTTTCCAGGGTTTTTGAGCCCCACTTCTGGTCACACCACAAATCACAAAACAGAAATGCTTTGGGCTATCCAGCCCACAGACATGCTTTGGGCTATCCAGCCCACAGGGATGCTTTGGGCTATCCAGCCCACAGAAGCTTTGGGCTATCCAGCCCACAGAAATGCTTTGGGCTATCCAGCCCACAGAAGCTTTG